AAATACCGAAGAAAGGCGATCTCAGCAAGTGTGATAACTACAGGGGCATCACTCTTCTCTCAATACCGGGAAAAGTCTTCAACAGAGTATTGTTAAACAGGATGAAGGACTGCGTAGACGCCCAACTTCGTGACCAACAGGCAAGATTCCGTAAGGATAGATCGTGTACAGACCAAATCGCAACTCTACGGATCATTGTGGAACAATCAATTGAATGGAATTCATCACTCTACATCAACTTCATTGACTACGAGAGTATTTGATATCGTGGACAGAACAACGCTATGGAAACTTCTTCGATACTACGGCGTGCCTCAGAAGATAGTCAATATCATACAGAATTCATATGATGGATTACACTGCAAAATCGTGCATGGAGGACAGTTGACAAAGTCGTTCGAGACGAAGACCGGTGTCAGGCAAGGTTGCTTACTCTCACCCTTTTCTTTCTCCTGGTGATCGACTGGATCATGAAGACATCAACATCTGACGAGAAACGCGGGATACAATGGACATCTAGGATGTAGCTGGACGATCTAGACTCCGCAGATGATCTGACCCTCCTATCGCAAACGCAACAACAAATGCAGGAGAAGACGACCAGTGTAGCAGCAGCCTCAGCAACAGTAGGTATCAATATACACAGAGAGAAAAGCAAGATTCTTCGATACAACACAGCATGCACCAATCCAGTCACAATTGATGGAGAAGATTTGGAAGATGTAAAAACCTTTAAGTATTTGGGCAGCATCATTGATGAACAGGGTGGATCTGATGCAGATGTCAAGGCGCGGATCGGCAAAGCAAGAGCAGCATATTTACAACTGAGGAACACCTGGAACTCAAAGCAACTGTCAACCAACACCAAAGTCAGGATTTTCAATGCAAATGTCAAGACAGTTCCACTGTATGGGGCGGAAACCTGGAGAACTACGAAAGCCATCATCCAGAAAATACAGGTGTTTATTAACAGTTGTCTGTGCAAAATACTTCGGATCTGTTGGCCGGACAATATTAGCAACAACCTACTGTGAGAGAGAACAAACCAGATCCCAGCGGAAGAAGCGCTGGAAGTGGATAGGACACACATTGAGGAAAGCACCCAACTGCGTCACAAGACAAGCTCTCGCATGGAATCCTGAAGGCCAAAGGAGGAGAGGAAGACCAAAGAACACATTACACCGGGAAATGGAGATAGACGTGAGAAAAGTGAACAAGAATTGGATGCAATTAGAAAAGAAGGCCTAAGACAGAGTGGGTTGGAGAATGCTGGTCGGCGGCCTATGCTCCATTGGGAATAACAGGTGTAAGTAAGTAAGCAAGTAATTTACTGCTAGAAATGTATTGTGAATATCATTTTTAAGAAAGTTTATCAACAAATCACAAGAACAGATGAACAGCTTTTCACAAAACAAACATAAAGGGTGCCGGAAATAATACCTTGTGAAAACCAGATGACTAATCAGAACAGATAGAAAGGACTTAAAGTCTTCTCTCGTTTAACTTACATATTACCAGTAACCGAACATTCGCGTCGTATTTTCGAGGATTATTATGCAACTGCCAACCCTGCAGAGCTGCTGAAATCTCAAATATTTTAATTATTTAAGGTTTCAAACTATGGAACGACAACAAAAGTTCAAAATGGAAGCTCATTCAAACTACGATTATTGGGAACATTAACAATAAGCTTCAGCCTTGTGCATTAAGTCCGTAATTTTATATAAAATGTGTATTTTAATAAATAAGTGTACTGAAGATAACACACTGGTGAACGCAATTGTGTAAGACGGTATATTCGTCAGATGTGGTTGCACCACACCTGGTTTAAGACCGTTACCGTCAACTAGGTGTCCAATAGATCCAAAATCAAATACATAAAATGGGCACTTATTCGGACTCACCGTAATATTCTTCTCAACTAAACAACGCACTAAAGCCAAAATACTCTGGTCATGAACCACCTTATCAGAACCATGAACAATGAGATCATCTTGATAAACTTCAACACCTTCAAGTTCGCTGACTACCTTATTCATCAACTACTGATTTCGGTGGTTTATTTACCTACGCGCACCAAAACTAGTACAAGTGAAGATTTCTTATACCCAAAACACGACAAACACAACCGATGTATACAATGGTTTATCTATTTTGAATATTAAGTAGAATGAAATCACATATTTAAGAAAATTCCCAGAGTTATAACAAGCCACATACTGCATATCATGCTGAGCATAGTTCATAGTATATCGTGTCTTGAATTAATATCACAATCAAATACATTAGTGTTACGCTAAATAAAATACCACACTGAAAAACAAACAAATATTCTTTGAATAAACATCATATGAAATTAAAATACGGGAACGATGTTGAACAAAAATCACACTAAGTAAAAAAGATGCAATTTCGCATCATTCATTCATATCACTAAGAAAGACTGGAGCATCCTGTACTTATAGTTTTATAGGCTAGATTTTAATCCATCCACTGTCTTTATTTCACACAGCTATCAAACCTTTAAGTAAAGCACCAAAATCTTCTGAAGAAGCTAATGAAGGCAACGTAACTTAAGCCTTTTCAAATTCTTTGATCCCAGTAGTGACATCCTGTTTCACTAAACAGACCTACAAATCATGTATGAGGAATTACAATCAATAACAAACTATTTGAATGAATGGATTCTGTGCTCCCTGTGTCAGCAAAAAAGTCATGAAACAAACGAAGAGAGATGTATGATCGCCTATAGATGTGGGAAATGCCCTTCGAAATTGCCGATCGTTAGAAACACTTAACTTTATAAAATCCTAATTACAGTGTTTGTTATCTGTGATAATTAGGAATATTTGAATTATAGTAAAAGCTAGGAATCCCAGAAATAACGCAACTTAAGTACGAAGGAATCATCAGTCAGTGAAAACACCACAACCGGGAAACAGATAAGTTTCACTGTCATTCGAAAGTTTCATTACCGTTTTTCGTTAAACCAGGAACCTTAACTCCCAATTCTGGAGGAGCACTATAAGTTTTCTCTCCATCGGATGGTTCGGAAAACTAGTCCCACGAAACTCTATGTAGTATTGACACTAGGCTTCGCTAGCGTCACCTGGCGCACTAGAGTGTAGCGAGTACAAAGTAACTGGATCCTCAAAAACAGTTCATTTTTCTAGGTCAAATGATCTAAACAATGTGAAAAGAAACTGGCTTTGTCAGTAACGTCCCTTAGCAAACTCCGTTTATTAGCATTCTGATGTAAGCTACAATACCATAAGTGATTTGTTTTGACTTTCAGTGAATTGCCTCATTGAAAATAATTCGTGAAATATTGTGATGCTACTTGGAGCCCTGAGTTTTCAGGATGAACGTCCATGTAATGATGATTACCAGTCAAGAAACAAAATCCAAACAGTAAGGAAAACTTTTGGAGAATTTGTTATATATATATATATATATATATATATATATATATATATATATCAAAATAAGCATTAACTTGATTACCCAGGTGTTCTCAAGGCTTTTACTTTTCGTAGGACATCAATCATGTTTCTGATAGTGGTGTGGCATTCGCTAAATTTAACTTGTGTATGGTCAGAGAGCCTACTTTCCACAACTGATCGATACAAACAAAAGACTGGCAATAAATGTCAAGTCAAGTTACGTTTGAGGCTAACTACAAAATCAATCTTTCCAGGTCTTGATTGAATTACATCCTCACCCCCTATTAAATCCTGTAACACAGGGATACTCATAAGACACTAGTTATAGTTGAGTTTCTTGATATCGAGAAAAGACCGTGTTCTGAGAGTTTGTTAAAGACAGCTAGCGCCAAGCTTACCATTGAAAACGAGAGGAGCCATACGTAAACTTCCCCTCAACTGTTCCAGTTCACCTGTTCAGTCGAAAAGGGAGACAAATTTTATTACTCTTTCAACTCCCCCAACGAGATCGATCTACAAACAGGTCTGAGGTAGTTGTGTGAATGGTATAAGTAGAACGAATCTGAGTAAGCATATAAAATTGCATAACTGAGACCGTGGCCATCCACATAGCACGTATTTATCGGAAACTAGTACTCGTATAGAAAGCACACAATTTTCAGCTTCCAAAAGTTTAGTACTGCTTGAACAATAGGAGGATTCTCTCTGAAAATACTCCTTATGGGAAATAGTTGGAAGTAACTGAAATATCTGTACTCTTGCCAGATTTGGCGATGGGGTACAGCATCACTCAACTCATAGGGGGGATAATGGCTTATGTCAACCCAACCAGTAGTTGGTGCCTTCGTGATGTTAGTCTGGTTGTGAAAATTTATAATTATAACACAAAAGATGGCAGTTACAAACAGAAGGTAATGTATCTTGTATTTTCTTAGATAAGCACTTCTCGTGCTCACCCACTGATCGTACGACCCATACGGCTTTTATCACTTTGTAGTAAGATTTCTACGTTTGCGTGACACATACCTGGTCCACGTTATACAATAGTAAACGCACTCTAAATAAAGATAACATACCTTAAAAGCGAGTCACTAAATCAAGAACTCAAAAATATCACGAGATCGATGAACAACACGGTTGGACATCTGTTTCATAAAGATTAGGTTATTAGCCGATCTGTATGGTTGCATCGTCTGTGTATTAATACCGTTAAGTAGTACGAATCCTGCTCAAATGGCAATACAGACGTTCAAACGACCACATACAGTCAAGAAATAACATACACCACGTAAAAACACACTGAAATTATATGCATCGGCCGGAATGAACTCTTAATATGAGGATGAATCTTACTGAAACGAATTAGATAAACTCATAAAATTATAAATCCTATGATAACACGTAAGGTACCAACGGAAAACGCAATAATAGGTAAGAAAAATTACTATTAGTAGAAGAATCACGTCAAGAAAATATTGTGATTCAGATTGCGAAATAGTAAAACTAGTCAATAACATTCTGTTTACATTCCCGAGAAACGTAAAATTGGCCTGAAGATCATTTAGACCACCTGACCACCTTCCTTTCGTAAACGAATTGATTAATTGGTTCCTTTGATTCAATAGGTAAAGTGGCCAAGTAAAAAGGTGTATCAGCACCTAAAATAATAAACACAACAAAAACTTAATATTAGTCAGGTGTAAATCACTGATAAATGAAATCCCTCAAATCATACAAACAAGATAATGACCAAAAGAAACTTAAGAGGCATACTGTTATCCTTCGTTATATTTGGAAATATTCTGAAAAATATCTCCCGGTAAAAGATATGGGAAAATGCATGAGTTACAATTTTGGAACTTGCGCAACTGACAGCTAATTTCAATATGAAGTGTCGTAGCTAGATTATATTGTGAAAGTATACGAATTCATAGAATGTTGAGTAGTTCTGTGATCCACAGTACAGAAAACTAAATATTTTATGAATATGATTACACAAATGTTTGTATGTGTGTATCGACAGTTTTCTAAATGTCCTTTTTAATGATTGATTTATCAACGAAATCATTGATACATATAGGAAACGTGTTAACCAATTACAGAGACAGGTGGCTAAATAGCGATTTACACGTCGATCCTATTACTAGAAAAACGATATTAATTTTATATCTCTTATGTAATTCAAACTGACTACACGCAGATATTAGTAACCTTTCATTTAATTACTTGAACAAGTTTAATGATTGTGAAGAAAGGTTAGCTAATTAATCTCCCTGTCTCCAACCACTATTCACCTAGACCCTTCTCCCATCAATCAAGGCGTCATTTTATCCTGTCAATTAAATGCTTATTATAATACCCATAAAAAGGGAAGATTTGGTTGAGGAATTGCTGGGTAGACCCAGAGAGTGGAAGCTATGTCTAGACCGACGGATGTCCTCGCACTACGATGCTCTATGGGACCTATTATGGTGCATCTATTCCTAACCTTCATCGCCTACGTGCCCCGTTAAATAAGACCCTGTCGAAGAACATAAAATTGGATTGGTCGAAAAGTTGTCAAGGTGCTTTTGAGAAAATTAAAAAACTACTAGTCTCAGATCTGTTGCTCGCCCAATACGATACATCCTTACCAATTGCGGTAGCATCAGACGCTTCGAACTACGACATTGGGGCAATTACTTTTCACATCATGCCCGATGGATCTATGAAAGTAATATCACATGCAGCTGTGTCGTTAAATACAACTACAACAGGACGTAACTGCAGCCGGATAGAGAAGGAAGCATTGTCAAGTATCTTCGCCATAAAGTTTCACAAGATGACATTTGGACGTCAGTTCACTTTCTTAACTGATCATAAGCAATTGCCGACCATATTTGGATCGGAGAAAGGGATTCCGGTATATGAAGCAAACAGACTGCAACGATAAGAAACCACACTCTTGAGTTATGACTTCAAGTACCAGCCCACTACTGATTTTGAACAGGCTGACGCTTTGTCTAGACTGATTGGTTCACAAGTAAAATAGGAAGATACTTTTGTGGCAGCAATTGAGATGGAAACAGAAGTACACTGAGTATTGTAAGACACAGTCGATGGTTTACCAGTTACTTCCAAAGCTATCAAAGAAGCCACGGATGATGACAAGACATTAAGAAAAGTTACGGGTTATCTCCTCACCAAGTAGTCAAACAATCGTTTTCAAGGAGAACTGCTACAGTATTTTCGCCGGCGGGACACATTCATGATTTTTGACTCATTTATTATGCCCACTGACGAAATCGTTGTCTAAAAAAATAACGTCGATTCCACAATGTACATTCCGGCATCAACAAGAAATTATTGGCTCGAAGATTTGCTTACTGGTCTTGCTTACTGGCTCAAGATATCGAATACCGCGATTGTTCATCACACTTGCAAGCAACCAAAAGTCCAAATAAATGTGAACCACAACAACAAAAAAGTGCAGTAGTCCCTGGGAGAGGCTAAATGCAGATCTTGTCAGCCCAGTGGGAGGAAAGTAGTTTTTAGTCATAGCAGATGTATCTACGAAATAGCCACAAATCTATACTATGGTAAATTGCACAGCCAATGAAACGATCAGCAAATTATTTGAATTGCTTAACTGTCTTGGAGTTCCGAAGACTTTGGTAACCGACAACGAGTCACAATTCACTTCAGAATCATTCAAGTACTTCTGCATCATTAGCGGAATTACACATATACACTCTCCACTTTATCACCTTCAGTCAAATGGACAGTCAGAAAGCTTTATCGATACATTCAAAAGAGCATTACTGAAAGAGAGACGAGGGGACAATTCAGGTAATTGCAAACTTTTTAACAGCTTACAGAACTGGGCCCAACCCTATTGTCCCAGATGGGAAGTCTGTTGATGAAGCTGTGTTCGAAAGAAGTATTCGAACCCTATTCGACGCCACGTTACCACCTAAATCAGTTAACGTATGTAAGTTACATCAGAATATCTGAAGTTTTAATGTGAGTGATATAATGGTCATCAAGTCATACCTTGGAAAAAATCGATGGGAACCTGTAGACATTGGAAAAAGAATGGGAAATGTTTTGTACAAAATGCGTGGGACAACTGGAAGGCGGATTAGATACATCAACCAAATCCACACAGAAAAAAGGACGTTGAACACTGTAGACAGACGAGTGAGTCATCCAATGGAGATACTTGCAGATAACCCAATGACAGGAACGCCCAGGGACATTCGTATTTAGAGGACACCAAGGAAATCGGAACGCCGCCGGAAACCAGTTATCAAGCTGCAATTAGACCCAAAGAAGTTTAATTTTTGAAAGGAGGAAGGTGTTTGGGAGACTCAGGATATTCCTCGAAAAATATCTAAAGGAGCCCTGGAAACGCTAGCAAGCACTTTATTCAATCAGCATCGAACAGAAGCATTTCAGAAACATCTAGAAAGTGAAGAGTCACGTATCACATTTCTGATTGGATGATTAACTATCCTGCTACTATGTTTCCTAGGGTTCGATAATCTCCAGAAGCTCAGGCCTATCTGAAATACTATAAATACCTTCAATTTTCTGTACATAAACTAAATTTTGAGTAAAGCGTTTTCTACATGGCTTGCGCTTTTTCTCTTGTGTTCAAGTGGTCGTGTACATTTAACTTAGGGGTTACTAGAAGAGTTTAGAAAACCGATTCAAGCGTTCAATCAAAAGATTCATCAGGAATATCAGTTTTACTCAGCGTAGTTGTCACCCTCTGCGACCAACAACTCGAGACATAAATTTCTGTCTCAAAGCGAAGTTTTATCCGTTCGTCTAGAGATCCTGTTGGTAACGTTCGTGAATCCTAAGTATTTTTTGGCTGATAGAAGGCTTCTATGCAGTATCCAGATGGTCAATGAGTCATTATCACGAATTGCTGAGTAGCAATTATGAGAAAGACCACCAATTTGATCGCTTGACAGCCAAACCGAACAATATGACTCATTCTTTACTGATCTTCGAACATGCAGCTTTTGTTGTCATCGATTTTGTATGTGAAAGTCACGTAAATAAAATAATCGCCGATGTCTTTGATATGCGACAGTTTATTTGAACGATCGAAAATTCCAGGTCAGTGTAACCCCGATTATCTCTACTCCGTACGTAATTTTGAGGCACATCGTGAAGTGAACGGTTTTCTGGAACAGTACATTTTTCCAAAATTATATCAAAACAATGTAGCTCGTCGATTTTACGATGTCATAGATTTTGATGTTACCTACAACTGCAGTAAGAACGGTATGTCTCTATACGAAATAGTGGCACTAGATGATTTCATGAAGACAATGCCAGTAGCATTTAGTTTTATGGATAGAGAAACTTCCGAGCTGACTAGTAGGTTCTTAGTCTTTCTTAAGACAGTTTCGTCAGGGATACCTGTGGGATTTTTCATTAATGACAACAGTCCCGCCATAAACAATGCACTATCTGTCAACTTTTCGCAAGCGCATTATGTGTTATGCAGAATCCCGACTGTTGCTACTACCCTGACTTGGTGGTCGGGCTTGCCTATCGTGATGAACCAATCGGGTTAAACTGGCTGCAATAATCGTTCCTTAAGGTTCTACCATGCCAAACAGGTCAGTTGAAGAGCGGTAAGACTAAAAGCAGCAAATTTAAGGTCCGAAGGTGAAGTCATACTGCTGACTGTACAGAGATGTGACGGCAGTAAGGTGCATCTCTCAGACAACCAGTATGACAGCGATGCTGTCTGCCCACAAAGGAAGGGTGGGTTAGGAAAGGTCGACCCTAAAAATGCAAGCCTTGCCTTATCCCACGGATATCCGTCTCTGGCGGTAAGGTTCCAACAAGTACAGAACACGAAAATTACTCACAAAAAGGGTGTGTTTGACCGACCTCAAGCAGTTGTCCCTTGGGCACTGTGGTCACGCTCTCATGTCACTAAGACCAACTCTAACTCTATTTCCATTTCAGGTACCTCTAGAAGAACCCTTTCACGGTATGGGCAACTGGAAAGTGAAAACCGTCCTAATATCTCTAACAGCACTCAAGACCACGGACTAAATGAATTATGTAGAATACATGTAATACGTAATCTCCTTCGGGGAAGGAAGAGGTACGTTTACTGTGTTTAACTAACAAGTCGCTCATAGAATATCTCATCTAAAACATTTCGACAATTTCTTTGTCTAATGCATACGAAAAACACTGGACGGTAAGTGTAAACTTACCTTAATGCACAAATTTGTGTAGATTCAACTCTAACAAAAACGATATTGAAGACGACAATTTAACATTTTCCCACAACCCAAAAAATAACTTTCACATTAAGAGTTTGAACCATGAGAAATGCCCTTAATGCAAAATAACACGAACTTCGTGGCACAACGCACAGGATGATAATGTTCAGCCTCAACTCTAAATGTCTTGTCTTGTGTTGTGTGTTCCATTTATTTTTAAGGAGTGGCTACTGGCTGCATGCTAGACTTCATGAAATGAGGAAAGAAATGTTTTAAAAAAGTGTTGTTTTATAAAGGTCCGAATGAATAGAGATCTATTTCTTACTCCATGGAAACGTATTATGTATCGTTAGGGTTGTTATTACTATATACATAAGCCTATGTGACTTCTACAGGATATGCAAACAAAAAGGCGTGAAAAATTAATAAGCTAATATTGGGTTGTAGTGTGAATAGAATAAGATGAATAAAATGTTTTCGCCACAGTAATTAAAGCCATTGGGAGAATTAAATGAAATTATATCAGACATAATTACGTGAAAAAATTTTGAGGATATGATATACAATAATGCGGGAAAACTTTTCAAATAAAAAATCAATTAAATGAAAATTTGATAATGATAACGTTGTGAGGCCACTTGATAATTTCGAATAAATTGAGCATTGGGTAGATTGTTATAAATAAAATAATATATTTGTAGTATCTCAATGAGTAAAAAAATTAGATTTTCTGACGTTTCGTGACTTCTTGCAAGCTACTTCTTCAGAGGACAAATATTTTATATCTAATTTTTCTACTCATTGGGATACTACAAATATATTATTTTATTTATGTTGCGAGATCACTTTAAAGATAAGAATAAGATAGGCTTCGTTGCACAAAACAATCAGTAATTAACTTTTTATTTCGTTGATTTTTAATTTGAAAAACTACCTTATTTAATATTATCTATTAAATCTTCATTATTTTATATTTGAATGTTTTTGATATCGTTTCGTTTAATTCATTCAGTGATTTTAATTATTGTAACAAAATATTTAAATTATCATACTACATTGATACTATAATTTAGTGTTAACTTAATAATATTATGCCCGTCCTGTCATTTACACAGAATCTGTAGAACTTTCACTACCTTTTACTAATATTATAATTGTCAGATCTGTATTTTCTGTCTGTATTCTCTTTTTTCCGTTCCTCTTGTCTATATTGTATGATAATACTTACTAATTCTCAGTGATCAGTCTTATTTTTAATAACTTTTGAGGGCAGGAGATAAACCTCACGTTGTTATCTAAGTGTATAGTAGTCAAAAACTACAGTTATGTTTTAGTTGATTTGGTCACGCAATTGTAGATATTTTGGAATAGTTTCCACTATAGAATTAGTTGGAGGTATGAATTTTGCTGTGTTGCAGTCTTTTTTATCATAAATGACTGTGCTACACTTGACACCGTAGCATGATGGAGTGGCATTTTCGTCATAAAAAACTTTAGATTTTTCACGCAAGACAGCAAAAATGACAAAGAACGAAACATCCTCTACGATAGCATTAATGATGATCCCCGCTTCAATTTTGTTGGTTGTCAGGTGCAATGTTAAAATTGCGAACGAGAGTAGAGTTTATCCTCAGTCCTTTTAAGCGCTTTGAGTATTGTCTACCAGTTATTGTATAATGTTTTATGTATTTACATAGAATGATGACATTCAATTTATTTATTGTTATAACTTCATTTTATTAATACTTGAATAATTTACTCCAGATTCAATCGTATTGACTAAACATTTGTTTTATCATAAAAACTAAGATTTCAAGGGTTCCTCGTTTTCCTTTTGAAATTGTCTGCTACTGTAATTTCGACACAACTAACAAGTGTCATTTGCTTATTCCATGTTGTAACAAGTAACCTTAAGTCGATTTTAGTAAGCAGCCTTCTATGATTATGCCAACACGGTAAGTACCGTAGCCCTTCGCAAATTGAAGTTTGTAATCCACTCCATGCATTTTCACTATAACAGTATAGTATTTTCAGAAAAACTTGAGTTTTTGATCACCAGACTTTACACGTCACTTAATCGTGTGATCAAAAGGTTCGATTACTGCGAAAACACTAACGAAGTTAGCAATATTATATTCAGGAATTTTGTTAGAGTGGATAGATTTGCTTATTTACATTTTAAGGTAACAGTTGTGTACGAGGTACTTCGGACGGTCCTTTCGACATTATGGAGATCATATATAAGAAAGAACATGTCTTTTTATAACAATTAAACCTCTTACACACAATCAGTAAAATAATTAAATAAGCTTACGAACTGATTGCACATGTTATGCGTGGTCATTAAAAAATGATAGATAGAAAAGGAAAATAATATCTGCATTAATAAAATGATTCTTTGGAAATTATTTATCGGTTTATATCACGACTGTCAGTCATATCTATTTTCTATTGACGTTAGGAGTGTAACTCGATTCCTCAAGTATTAACTATATCACAAAAGTAAAAATCACAACAGATATGCGAACGTTTAGAGGTTCTGACTAAAAAACAGTTGGACACTCACCCTCATCAGCTGTTTTGGTTCCCTTGTGACTAGTCATATCAGTATCGCAATAACCAGGACAACACTGTCAAATTAATAATAAAAAAACTCAAAATTAACTCTTTTGATATGATTATATCAGGTGTGATGAAAACCTAGTAATTTTAATCTGGAAACAAACTTTTAAATAACCTAATTTAAATTTTGGGATTAACAAATTGTTTTATTACTGTATGTGATCATTACGTAGAACAACATTCATGAACGATAAATTCAACAGAAAATAATCTTAAGAATTAAATTTAAGTACATAGGATAAGAATATTATTTCCCTTAAATGGCGTACATGTTGAAACTGCAAATAATTAGCATTTTAAAGATCACTTTGTTCGAACTAATTAACTAAGAAATAAGGATAAATAGATGCTCTCAAAACTAACCATAAACACATAGAGCTCAAAGAATATCTAACTCAAAGAAAATGATGTAAGTAGGTTAAATACAAATTGTCAGCTTTTAGAGGAAAAGAATAACTGTATTATTGATATTATTATTATGTTAACTAACAAAGATAACTTTATACAATATGATGTGGTAACCAATTCATTATTACATGAATAAATCCAACGAATAACTTGATTGAATTATTTCTCGTTCTATGCTACTCTGATTGTAATTCAAGAATGGATATCATTCGCTACCAATCTAGAACTTATACATCATAAGTCAGGTTAATTCATCCAACTTTTATATAGATATTTCTAAACTTGACTAATGAGAATGTATTCAAGTTTGAAAATGTGACAACCTTATTAGAAAACTCTAGAAAACTACTTTTGCTTTAAATGGAGAAATTTTCCTGTTAAGTTAATGCTTTTAATATCTATAAAACTTATGTCTGAAATAACCTCAACCAACTGATATTTAGAAAATTGCAGCGTTTCACTCAACAAACTGACTTGAGTTTCCTCAGCGAAATAATTGAAATCAGGACTATCAAAAATAAATAAGGTTTACAAACGAATTGTTCGTTCTCATTTTAACGAATGTGGACATAAACTCTCATGATAAAGTTGGTTTTTTCAGTAGTAAATTGTAGTGTTTACATTAATTCAATTATCAATACATAGAGGGCAAAATCTAATTTTATGTCATGGAAAAATTTACGGAAAAAACTGCACCCATGAACATTGACAAATATAAACAACAGTTCATTTCAAACGAAATGACAGTTTCTAATAAAACTCCCTATAACAACGCGACGAAAATTTAGTGCAACTTAATTACACAAATAAAATTATTATGATGCTTGAGTAATTTATTTTAGAATCTCAAGAACTAAGTGATGCGTAGGCGAGGAAATTAATGATTGGTCGTTTGCTTAGTCAGACTAGTAGATAATCTGACAGATATTAGATGAGTTATATAATTCCTTACCATGATTGTTGTCGGTTTTTGGTGTGGAAATATACTTATGATCTAGTTAGGCTAATCACGTGTTCTTGATCTGAGTTGTGCTGAAGTACTATAGAATAAACATCGGAACGGTCACTAGAGTAGATATTCGTTCAGGGTAAAATAACGTCTCATTCGTGCAAACGGGAAAACCGAGCGTTATAAAATCAAGATATCAACAAACCAATAGGATCACGACACCCAAGTCTTACAGCTCAAAAAGGGTTACAAGCACGTATTGTGGCTTCCCACATTTTGGATTGACGAAAAAGTATGCAATACATAATAACAAGATAATCAGTTACTTCGTTATGGATAAATATAGCTAATTTGAACTATTAATGGATTTGTATATAATCACTGGATTACCTGGTATTTTATTTCACAAAACGAATACTATTCTAATCTTAAGATAAGAACGATTTGCATAAAAATAGACACAAACCATCACAATATCAACAAAACAAACTAACCGAATTTATCACAATCCCTCTTGGATCATCTTTCAGCATTTCACCGAAAATAAATGAAGCCTTTGTAAGGCCCATCTTAGACACACCATAAGCATTTTGTGGCCAACCTTTTTCAGAATAAGTGCCATCCTCAGCGGACCTAATTACAGATTTGAACAAAAACCAATTACCCAGTAAATAAATCTAGAAGGATTGAAAACTAATTCAATATTTAGGTGGATATAGTCACCTCGCAAAATAATAGTACTGAAAAATTAACAGGAAATAAATTTAGGAAATCATATACTAAGGACGATAATCGCTCCCATATATGGATCAAAAGAAGCCAATCTAAACTGGTAGTTTAAGATGAAGGTTTTCGTTTTCCAGTCTATCGAAAAACCCATGTTACTTTGGTTATTCAGTGAAAGCTTTAGTAGGAACCAACACCCTACATACTGCTTGAACAGCAATCAGTAAATTTACTGACCGCAACCGCAACGGTTTAGAGTAGCCACCTTTTATACAAATACAACCGGTTATGACAGTAAACAGGATAACACCTCAAGACTAGTTACTCGATGATTTCTCTGCCATGACTAACATTTAGGAGCTTCATACTTAGTCATTTACTTAGGCCTGCTACCCTACGTGAACCATAGGTCGCCGATCAGGATTCTACAAGCAACTGTGTTCTATGCTCACATTCCCAGTGGTTCACAAGTGCTACTCATGGTCTCGATGTCTGTCTCCAATTTCCGGATCTATGTGTCTTTCGGCCTGCCGTTTTTCCTTCTGACATAAGGATCCTAAAATAGGACTTGCCTTGTGATGCAGCTTAATGATTTTCACAAGTTATGTCCTATCTACCTCTAACGTCTTTTTCTAATTTCCTCTTCATCTGGAAATTAGTTTGTTTCCCGCCACAGTAGGTTACTGATGATTTAGCATGGTAGATAGACCTGAGGTATCGTGCGTAGACAATCATTTATAAATACCTGTACCTTCTTAATGATTGCTGTGGTAGTTCTCTAAGTTTCAACTCCGTACAATAGAACTGTCTTGACATTTGCACTAAAAATTCTGAACCCGACATTGGCTGACAGTTGTTTTGAGTTCCGGATATTCTTCAACTGTAGGGATGCTGTCCTTACTTTGCCAATCCGTGGCTTCACATCTGTATCACATTACCCTTCTTTATCAATAATGCAGTTCCGGTGCGTAAAATTTCCACCTTCTCCAGAGCTTCTCTATCGAGTGTGATTTGGTCGGTGTCGCTGTGCTATATTTTAGGATCTCAGAAAACTTGTCTCACAATAATTTTAACTTTTACTCAACATGATTAAATCGTTAGGATGACCGGAATGTGATATAAGATTGTCTGGACATTGGCCAGATTTTATCTTATTAAGGATATTGCTGACCTCTTTCTGTAACTCGCAACCGTTCTATATTTCAGCTGGAAATTTATCAGATTATATATATGGTTTCAAAGTGTGATTCCGAATTTGGTCGCTTGAACACATGCTCTTTCAATAAACTGATGAGAAATCAGATTTAATGAACACATCATTAAATTGGAGAATTGATTTCACTTTTGTGACTGAAAATAACATATTTTTAGATCTCTGAGACTTGAAAAACAGTAGTTTGGTTATACCTGAAAACTGGACTTCAGTGATAACTTGGACTGAAAACTGAGTTATAACTGGGACCATACAGCTGTAACAAAAAACTGAAACTTTTAGACCAACGCTGTCGCCACTGTTATTTCGGAAGAAAACCAAAGGTTGTTTCCTTGTGTTGGATCATATTAGTTCAAGTGTGGTCAGATCATAATGGCACGAAAGCAGTTGCATGGTTACTCTCTGGTCCGATTATCGATTAGTTCACCCGTATTCTTAATAGAATTGATGACCTATACTGTCTACATTTATAGACTATAATCGGAATATATCATATTCTACATATGGTTATACTGCTGGGAGGACATCAACCTTACTGGAATCTTCAATCATCTATAATTGTGGATTTTGGTACCAGGCTCAATCAGAACACGCACAAACCTGCTGAATTAAGTAACGTCTCTAATTTTTGTTGTCTTTATAACATTTAACTGATATATGATAACATTACTATATGTACTTAATAACTCGGTTATCATTTTTGAGTTCATATATTGTTTGGTACATCACAAAGCAATTAAATCACATACGATCACACAAAAGCAGTCAGTGTTAATAAGCGAATGTTTGACAAGGCCCGAATGTGGCTTGATAAGGACTAATAGATTGTTCTGTTCAGAAACTTGAATAGCCCATGTGTGCGGCAGTATATTTATATGCGGCAATCAACGGATCATGCTATGTGCGTTCACCGGAAAGGAAGATCAAAGATCATGTTTTAGACAACAGTTTTGTAGTCAGTAACGGCAATTGTACAAGTTATTAGAATTAATTAAAAAAATGCAAATAATATTAAAAACCAATTACAAATAATTCTATTCTATCGTGTCCTACAACTATTTGACTGTATTCTAAGTTTTTTATATCATTGTGTTAAAAACATAAAATTGCCTTTTGTTTATATGCTTAAGAGCGCTCTTTAAAATGACAGTGGTATTTTACATTCCTAAGCTAATTATATCACTTTAATCGTTTGTCACAAATTAAGACTGAATTTATTTCAGTTAAAGCAATCAAGAGTACAGTTTATTATGAAAGTAATTTATCATCTGTACCTTTGAGTACATTGGTTCTTTTTGTATATCTTTGCACTTCGGGTTCTAACAATTTACAGTTTCTCACTTTTTTCTGGTCATCAGTTCCTTTTGTCTCTTGGTAGTGTTTGCGTCTAGTTTCTTTACGAAAACCTCTGATTCAATCAGTAAGTCAGCTGCAACGTAGGACCAGACACATATATGCATCGGTCCAAGTTGCCACACCTCATTAGTATAACATGATGAATAACAAATTCATAGTAGTTACTACAATGGTATTGATGTATAAAAGGAAGACTGTGTATAAGGGTATAGTACATGAAGAAAGAATTAGTTCGTTGAAAGAAAGATATAAAGCGACTTTAATCTCACGGTTTAAGGGAAGACAATTAGTGTATACACCTACGCCATTGTGATCGATTCTGAGTCATGTCACCCAGAGTCCCAAACCATTGGTTACGATAGTCACGCGGACCCCAACCAAGTAGTCCGCATCTACCAATATGGCTTAGACCAGAATTTAGTGACTTCAAGCACTGATGCCACGTTTTGGTTTGGCCGCCGCTAACTTTCTTACAACCATCCCCAACACCAGTTAGCCTTGCGCGTCGTGGTAATCGGTGTTCAGGCATACGCAACACGTGGCCCAAACATTTCAGTCGATGAAGATTCACAACCTCATCAATTGATTTACCATCATTCCCTAATACCCTACGTCTAACCTCACTATTACTTACCCGGTAATCCCAGCAATATTTCTAAGGCATCTGTGGTCAAATACTAGTAGCTTACGAGTGTCTTCTACTCTTAATGACCATGTTTCGCAGCCGTAAAGTAAAACAGAACGGACTGTCGCGCAGTATACTCGTCCCTTAATTGATAGACGGATATCTCGCCTTCGCCACGGGTGATGTAAGTTGGCAATAGCGAAACGAGAATTTCGAATCCGTGCAGAGATGTCGTCAAACATCAATCCATTAAAGCCGATCAGAATTCCCAGATAAACGACGTTGTCAACGCGTCCGGCTACGTCACTCCCTATCCTTAGTTCAGGTGTTGACCCAGACCAGTCCTGAAGCAGAAGCTTGCATTTAGAGGGAGAGAAGCGCATTTCAAACATTCTAGCATTGTTGCTTAGTGCTACCAAAAGACGCTGGATTTTTATCAGATTCTTCACCAAACAGGACTGTCATCTGCGTATTCTAAGTCGATAAGTGGACCTCCTGGAAAGAGATCAATGCCCGGAGCGTTATTTCCATCAGTATATCTATGACGAATTTGAACAAAAATCAAGATAGTGGACAGCCCCGACGGAAACCACTTGAGGTTGTAAAAGTAGATGACCGTTCGCCATAAGCTCTCACTCGACTTGTAGTATTCGAGTAAAGAGCCTTCACAATGTTTATGTACTTCTGAGGCACTCCTTTCAATGACAGACGCTGCCACAGAATCTCGCAGTCTACGGAGCTAAATGCTGCTTTTAAGTCAAGAAAGATCACCATTGTCGGACGCCGATAAGTATGCCTGTGTCCTAGAACCTGACGAATGGTGAATATATGGTCGATACAGCCACAACTAGGTTTGAAGTCAGCCTGATTTTCTCGTGTTTGCAGTTAGTTCACGAGTCTTTGTTAGACGACTGATAATTATTGAGGATAGTATTTTAGATGCTATATTAGTCAGACTAATCCCTCTATGGTTATCACAGGATGATTTTCACCCCTTCTTATATATTGGGATAATCAGTGATTGTGACCATTTAGATGGATTACGTCCAACTCCCAGATTTTAGCTAAATATTAGTCAACCTAACAACTTAAATTGGACCACCATCCCTAAAGACCTCTGGAGCCGATCCATCTGAACCAGCTACTCTTCCCCGATTCAGATTGTCTACAGCTTTTTGAACTTCAGCTAGAGTTGAGGGATCTACTTCAATGTTCCATTCAGGCTGTCTGGGAATGGTGGGTAGTTGTAGAGTAGATGAATACAAGCCAAATTGTTCTCTAAAGTGTTCCTCCCACCGTTCTGAACGTCTGGGCTGAGAGCAGACAAGAGTTTTGTCCTTTTCCGAGATAGTCTCATTTACACTCAACTTTTTAGTCCCAGTTTCTTTTGAGTCTGAAGAGCTATCTTGTGTTGCCTACAGCCGCTGCCTTTTCCTTCTCTTTTGCTTTCGATGCCCACCACTGCTCACGGTCGTTCCCTAGACTTTTGCTTAACCTAGATCTGATTTGTTGTCACTCTTCATCGTGTTCAGAGCCTGGTGGGATGAGTTTACGAGAATCCATCAGTGCAATAGACCTAGAAGAAATCCATTGGTTTTTGTAATCCTTTGATTTAAATCACTGATAGATGTCACTGCTGTTTCCACAGCTGTTTGTATATCTTTCCAAGCAACATCTGGGTCAACCTCGTTTTCAGAATTACCTAAGTGTGACCTCAGTTGTTCCTGGAACCTACTTTTGGTCTTCTCGCTACTCAATTGAGTTCTAATGGGTCTTTTTACTGTGGCTTTTTTTTGCGTCCAGTGAGGCGCAAGCAGATGCGTGCCCGTATTGTGGCGTGGTCGGAGTCTAAGCAGGCATTCCAGAATGAGCGGCCATCTCCTATCGACCCTCTCCAACGATGACTGATGGCAATATGGTCTATTTGGGTCCATCGTTGGTTTAGTGTAGGGGGTCGCCATGCCAGACGATGTCTCTCCTCATGCTTAAAATTTGTGTTTGCTAAAAATAAACGATTGTCTGAGCACAGTTGCAGCAGACGATCACCATTATCTGTTCGTTGCGCCGGAATACTAAAATATCCACCTAAATGTCTTTCTGTTTGGTTTAAACTGCCTATCTGGGCATTAAAGTCACCTGCTACAAGTACTATGTCTGAGCGTTTAGCTTTCTGAACTTATTCAGAAAGCTTTCTGTAAAATTCATCTTTCACTTCATCTGAGCTGCAGTCAGTGGGAGCGTAGGCAGAAACGACAAAAAGGCAACGACGTGTGTCCCCATCCTTCCGAGTTCTTACGGAGCCGTTTAGCCGAACAGCACATAAACGACTGTTAACAGGGATCCACTCTAACAGTGCTTGTTCCCTCATGCTTAGTGCTATCCCTACTCCTGCCAGTCCACGAGAGCTGGCCCTCGAGTCATCAGATACACGGAGGGTGTATCTCGTCGGCTCTCCGTTTTGCGGAGGTGAGGTCAAGTGAATGACCACATTAGGATCCTGTATGCGTGTTTCGAAGACACAGCATACATCAATCGTACGAGATTCTAAAATCTCAGTCAAGGATGCCTGCTGGCCGATTTGACATAGGGTGCGTACGTTGAAGGCTCCAATGTGTAGTTTGGAGCGAGGTTTCAGTAGACCTGGAACAGTGTTTTGCGCACTAGAATCGTTGGCCATGGTGATACTTGAGGAGGAAGCCAAAATAATAAGTTTAGTGTTGAAAGTCGATGTAGGAGGAATAATAGGGACAGAAGAAAGAGGTTGATTATGAATACAGTGGTCTTGAGTGCTGTTAGAGATGTGAGGGCGGTTTTCACTTCCCGGTTGCCCACACCGTGGAAGGGTTCTTCTAGAGGTACTTGAAAAGGAAATTGGATTAGAGGTGGTCTTAATGACCCGAGAATGTGACCGCAGTGCCCAAGGGACAACTGTTTGAGGTCGGTCATACACGACCTTTCTGTGAGTAATTTTTGTGTTAGCTCCGTACTTGTTTAGACCTCACCGCCGGAGACGGATATCCATGGGATAAGACAAGGTGGGCATTTCTAGGGTCGACCTTTTCTAACTACATTACTCCTTGTGGGAAGGCAGCATTGCTGTCATGGTGGTTGTCTGAGAGATGCACCTTACTACTGTCACACCTGTGTACACTCAGCAGTACGACTTCACCTTCGGACCTTGGGTTTGTTGCTTTTAGTCTTAACGTTCTTCAACCGACCTGTCTGGTATGGCAGAACCTTGATGAACGAGTGTTCCAGCCAGTTTAACCCGATTGGTTCATCACGATAGGCAAGCCCGACCACCACGTCAAGGTAGCAACGACGGTCGAGACCTCTACCACTACGGGATTTGAGTCGACAACTGCATCTCTGTGCTAATGTGGTATGGCAACTCGAACTGATGTACGTACGTACGAAGTTCTACGTTGTTACTGACTGACTGAAAGATATGATACGGGAAGAAAGAATTAGTTAGCCCTTCTAGGGTTGTTGCCGGTCCCAAGTCCAGATATAGGAGGGTTAGGCATAGCGTCAGCAAACCTATCCCGTAAAAAACAACCATGATGAAAAAACGCTAACCATCAAAAAACCATTTAAACCATTTAGATTCTCCCCTGGGAGTTAAGGGATTTTGGAAACCTAAGGGCAACTGGAAAAGAATACCAACGAACACAGCGCAGGAAATTTAAGACAGACAATAAAAAAACGAATTGCGATCGGAAACAAGTGGGAAGGAGAGCCCAGACCAAAGTCGTTTGAAGAAACCTGGTGGGCAGTCTATGCTCCACGAGGAGTAACAGGAGTACACAAGTCGTAAGAATATAAAGGAGAGGAATATAATTACCAATCAAGAACGTCGCAGACCAATCTAAGGAAGTGAGTATTTGAACAACGAACTACGAAGTCACGTTAACTCCGAACAAAAATAATTGTTGTCAACGTAAGGAACATAACAAAACCATTTCAAAAACGGATCATTAGATGACTGAAACGAGGCACTTTTTGTTAACTCTGTGTTACTGGGACATAGACTGGATTAAAGCACGCTCAATGCACGATTGCTTTGGTGCACACTGATTGGCTAATTCTTATCCAATCAGCACCAGTAGATAGTTGGAGAATACTCTAGAATCTTCTCATGTAAAAACTATAAATATACTGACGTTTTTCCCTATTGTGCTTATTACTGGCTTCTTGCTTCCATCTAACCTTGTTATTTGGAATATAATCTCTTTCCTGTTCAATCGTGTTCTGATTTGGGGACTTGTCGAGTGATTTGGTGTCCAAGAATACTAAGCAATAGAAAAAGCTGGGGTCATAACCGTAAAAAAGAGATTATAACACTATCAAAATTAAAACAAAACAACTGAAGGGGAATTTAAATCACTAAAATAATGAACAATCATAAAAGTTTCATATTCGTTATAATTTGATGACAAGTTATGACCCATTATGGATCGATGCGAAACATGAATGTTAGTAATTCTCAACTCTAGGAAGTCAAAGAATGGAACATCCCTTTGGTTTTGCTAACAATCAGGAAATCCTGTGACAAATGCACCGTAAGTTACAGGGATTTGTTGTGAATAGTGATATAACGTACGGTTTCAATTTTTTTCACTCTTACGTATTCTACAATGGCATGTCAATACGATAAAGAGGCTAGTCACGTTATCAGGATTCAGGATTCACGACTCAGAATAGAGAACCAGATTATACTAGATAATACTTTATTCAATACAACTACAAGTAGTCACGCTCAGTGAGTCCGGAGTAGACATCAATGACAGGAAAGAACGTCACATATTTAATAGTCCGTATGCTAAGTGCCTGTTTGTCCACGCTAAACGACCGATCATATTTTACTTTTACTACTACACATCAAATCGATTACGTAATGCGACTGTGAGATAAGAGTTTGATGACTTTGTATTCATTCTTCAATTACAAAAACACATAAAGGTATCTCATCAGAATGTTATTCCAGCAACCCACTGTGGATTACATACAAAAAAGTTACACCCAAGAGATATGAAAATTTATTTGATGTAACTATGGTAATCTTGGTTGAACTATTTGCTATTGATCTATCATTCCCTAAATTAGAATAAAATGACTTACTTTACAAACTCGGAGACGAGCTTTCGAAGTTCCAAAAGATTTATTGGACTAACGAACTTTTCGTAAAGATCATCACTAAGTTTCTTGAGACTGGTTAGAGAAACAGAACTAGATACATTGACAACCCTGTAAAAATATAAATTAGTATAAATTAGTACCTAGCATGTTTAGCTAACAAAGGAATGAACTCTTCCGTGAAATCAATGGTTGATGTGAAGTTGGTGTTCACCGTAACTCGTGCTTGCTCGCCAAAGGGAGCAGTGGAGTTAACCTTTGAATAATATAAAATAAAAAACAAAAACTTTGTAGGCAAATCCAGCATTATTCACTGCAATGTTGATTCCATCAGGATAGTTTCTCTCTACAAATGTTAGGAACGCTTTTCGACTATCTCGATCAGTTATATCTAGTTGATGAAATTTAACGTCCAGGCCCTTGTTACTGAGCTTCTCCACAGCTTCCTGACCAAGCTCAACATTTCGAGCTGTTAAATTATCAACTAACAACGTCTTACCTGTTAGATAGATATCCCACTCTCCTGACGTCCCATAAAATTCTGCAAGCTTTTCAACAATGCTATATCCAATGCCTTTGTTTGACCCAGTTACCTAAAGAGGAGTAATATATTGTTTGTAAGATGAGTGAACTAATCACACGAATGCCAGTTTCATTACACTTTTTCAGAATATCACAAGGTCTGAAATTTTAGAAAACAGAAGACATGAAAAATACAGTACGATCCTATTAAGTAGGTTAATATTTAGAAAGATACTAGGTTGACATCAATTAGAATCATAGTTAACTAACGTTTCAATACTAGCGACAAGTAAACTCTCCTGCGGCAGACTGAAGAACGAATTCCCGACCGAAGCTGCTACCTTGACGCTTTGGTCGGGCTTGCCTATCGTGATGACCCAACCGAGCTATATTGGCTGGAACATATGTTCCTGTAGGTTCTACCATGCCAGGCAGGTCGATTGGAGAACGGTAAGACTAAAAGCAGCAACTCAAGGTTTGAGGGCGAAGTCGTGCTGCTGACTGTAGAGGGGTGTGACAGTAGTAAGGTGTTTCCCTCAGACAACCAGCAACTACAGCGATGCTGCCTTCCCACAAGGAGGGGTGGGGTTAGAAAAGGTCGACCCTAAAAATGCACACCTCACCTTACCTCACGGATTTCCGTCTCCGGCGGTAAGGCCCTTTGAAGAACAGAGCTAACACATTAAAAACCTTCCACGAAAAGGCCGTGCGCGACCGGCCTCAAGCAGTTGTCCTTTGGGCTCTGCGGTCACGCTCCCAGGTCGTTAAGACCAACACTTATCCAATCTCCTCTTCAGGTTCCTCAAGAAATACCCTTCCACGGTGTGGTCAGCCGGGAAGTGATATCAGCCCTCATACCCGTAACAGCACACGAGACCAAGTTGGTCACATTCAAATCCCTCCTACACCTCCAAATACCTCTCTTATCTCCATGACTAACCCTCCTCACGTCTCTTTATCACTTCGCACCGCTAGGGCAAACGATTCGAGTACGTAGAACGCTATTCCCGGTCTCCTGAAACCACGCTCTAAACTACACGTAGGAGCTTTTAACGTCCGAACACTGTGCCAAATAGGACAACAGGCTTCCTTAGCTAGGACTTTAGAATCTCGCGCCATCGATGTGTGCTACGTCTCCGAAACGCGTATACAGGATCCGAGTAGCGTCATTCATTTGACCTCACCATGCCAAAATAAAGAACCGACTCGATTTACGCTTCGTGTATCTGGAAGCCCTGATTCTGCTTCCCGTGGCCTCGCCGGCGTAGGTATAGCATTGAGTCCTAGGGCAGAACTAGCTCTCTTAGACTGGATCCCAGTAGACAGTCGTTTGTGCGCTGTCCGACTAAACGGAACAGTAAAGACTCGGAAAGATAGGGACACTCGTCGTTGCCTCTTCGTCGTCTCTGCCTATTCTCCCACTGACTGCAGCGCAGATGATGTAAAAGATGAGTTTTACAAAAAGCTCTCCAACCTTCTCCGAAAAACTGGGCGCTCTGATGTAGTAATAGTGGCTGGTGACTTTAATGCTCAAGTAGGTAAACTACGCGATAAGGAAAGACACCTGGGTGGATCTTATAGCATCGTGGCTCAAAGAACAGATAATGGCGACCGTCTGTTGCAGCTATGTTCAGATAGCCGCCAGTTTCTTGAAAATACTAACCTTAAGCATAAGGAAAAACATCTTTTAACATGGCGACCCCCTAATTCGTCCCAACGCTAGACCCAAATAGATCACATGGCTATCAGCCACCGATGGAGGGGCTCGATGGAAGACTGTCGCTCATTCTGAAGCACATGCTTAGATTCAGATCATGCTCCAGTGCGAGCGTGTATTTGCCTGCGTCTTACTGGATGTAGGAAAGACACTGCAAGAAAACCTCTTAGGGGTCCTCTAACGATAGTCAAGCTAAGAGTATATTTCAGAAACAACTAGAAAAACAGTTAGGCAGCCATGTGTGATGCCCACCCCGAGGCAGCATGGAATGATATCCGAAAAGCTGTGGAAACAGCAGTGATATTTGCTAGTAAGTTCAACCACAAGGTTAGGGAGAAACACTGGATCTCAGCAGCATCTATCGCACTGATAGATGCTCGGAAACTCATTCCACCTGGCTCTGAGCATAATGAAAAGCGGAGTCGACTTAAGCGCAAGCTGACAAGAAGTCTACGCAATGATCGTGAACAGTGGTGGGTAGCGAAAGCAAGAGAGATGGAAAAGGCAGCGGCAATAGGTAATAGCAGATAATTGGTCAGACTTGTTAAGGAAACCGGTATTAGGAAACCGACTGTGAACAAGATGGATACGGACGACAGTTGGCTGACTATTAAAAGTTCGGTTCTGGACTATTTTACTTTTCTAAAAAATCACTAATCATTTTCCTGTAGATGATTTCAGTTCTGCGTCTGATTTGGTCCAGCCGTTGGATACAATAACTAGCATGATGTGAACACACTACCCCAACACACAGATAAATCCAAACGGCAAGTGCGTCATTTCTGTCCGTTGTTCGCAGAAACACAGTGAAGAGAAAACCTGACTACTTGTATGATCCCTTCAACTTCAATGTCGCAGAAATGTAGGCTGGGTACGGTCAAGCTGAATACTTTAAGCTTAGGTTGTCAGAAACTCCAGACTATCCAATCGGAAAGTAAGCCTGTTATTTCTAAAACTTTGTATAAGTTCAAGCAAAGCCGTTATTGCCATCACAAGGTACTTCGGTGCTAAGTAACAGAGCAATTTGGGATGAAAAAGCTTGGTTTAAAGCTATTTTCAGTCTCATGGCTTACCAAAAAATGAATGTAAATATAAAAAGACTTCGAACCATCGTTGCTGAAATGCTAGTGAATATGAGACAGGTGATATTGCTATTAAAAACAACTATATGTGATGATCAAAGGAAATCGGCAGGGGATTATCTATTTTACGGTTCCCTGAAGAAGAATTGGAAGCGTTAGATGTCTTCAACAATGATACTCGAGATAAATCTAATTGCCAACTGATTTAGTTTGTAATTGCTTTACTTTTTGAATGTCAATAATAACTAGGCTGATGAGTAACCAACTAATAATAAGTTATGACTATTTTATATGATATAGTGAAACCAGATTTAGAGACCAAGTTTAAGTTGACGGAAGCTGCCAAAAAAGTTTCAGTTCTACGACAGTGTAGAAAGTGAGAATTCTTTTTGTGACCTATTCACATGGTCCATTAGCATGGAAACTCTCAACGTCCAATGTTAGTGAGAAAGATCTTCCCGAAGTTTAGGGTTCTACCTCGACAGGTCACTTTTACTACATGAGAGATTAAGAGAATAAGTGTTATTGTAGATAGAAAGGTAACATAAGTCACAATCCTCACTATTAACTTTTGCTTTTCATTTTTCAGGCACAGGAATCAGCCCTGAATAATATCATTGTAATTCTTACCTTGTAACGAACATTTTACAAAAACCCCTCAACGTGTTGATTGTTGTCCCGTTTCAGAGTTCAAGTGACAAACAGTGCCCCATATTGACAACCGATGGACCGTTGAATTCTATGTTTATATTGTTGCCATCTTTTATAGATAGGCGTTTCTTAAACATAGACCGATATTTTCAATTAGGTCTAGTGCACTGAATAAAATTAGATTTAACAAGTAAGTCTACATAAGAGCCATCCCTAGTAAATATATTTATTCAGTAAAACCTGTACAATCCAGACTATTTCTCCCTTTAGATTACAGAAGACAACCATTAATGATGAAAAACTCTTATCAGTTGAAATGTTGTTCGATTGTAATCTGGATATAAATAGTCTTGGAGACTGTAAATCTAATACATGTGAATAAACGGCTTTTCTCATATGTTATTTTTTAAATAATGTCAACTACACAGGACACCTATGGTATATAGGCGGTCGTAGATTAACCAATGTTAATGTCGGCGAAAAATATGCAGACTGCGAAAATTAAACTATTTAGAAAGCATTCAGGATATTTGATAAGAGCTTAAGCAAAGGTTAAGGTGTCAACTTTAAGATATTTTCCTTAAATGGTAATGTCCATATAAAAGCCCGCACTATTTTATCCCTGGAAAAAGGAGTTAGTTTAGTGCATCTTCTCCCAAATTTACCAACTTTTCTTAAGAAATCTCCCAAGTATTCAACAAACTTCATTATTTGCCCGATTCCGTCTGCTTGTACTACCCAAGGATGTATGTATCAGAGAGACTAGCTGAAATCGCATCAGGATTAAGTGATTGAATATCAATGAAGACATAAACACTAACATGAACGTACTATGTCGTTGAAACAGACAACCACTCGATAACAGTGACCCTGACCTTAAAATTTTAAGACATTCAAACTCCAAATTTCGATAGGCAAGGTTATCCAAATGGTTGAAATGGTTGTGGAAAGAATAGAAGAAGCTTTCGCTTCACGAGATTCTGTGTCTAGTAGCAGTGAATCATCAATACCTTCAGGCAGGAACCTAGGTACATTAATGATAAAAGAGGAAAAAGAAATTGGTAAGTCATAGTAAGTCCTTAAGAATATGTCAAGTTTACTCACAATGGACTCCTGGAAAGTCGCTCGGGCTAGCTCATCCGGCAGCAAATTACAGCATTTGACTACTCTTAGGCAGTAGAATTTGTGCCTACAGTCCGTTCTGCTGAATTCTGTCTCCACTTACTGGGTTTTCCCGTTAGGTTTGTGTTGAAGCTAAACTTAAATAGGTGTTTAAGAGGATGTTCAGAAGTGTTGAAACTCCATAAGAAGGTCACTTTTAATACGCCTGTACTCTAACGGGTAAAATTTTAGTGATTGGAGGCACTCTTCATAGGGCTTGAATTTGAGTACCCGAACTGATTTCGTGCCTCGCCGTTGGATATGTTACAGAGTGTCCTTATCCTTTTTAAGTGAGGAAAGAAATAATATGTTTCCTTACTCCAACAAATAAAACGGTTGAAGATTATGTGAAGAGTTCTTCCGTCAAACTGGCCGAAAATGCTCCTCAATGTTACCAGTGCAAGGTTTGCTCGAAAGGCATTTTTGTCACAGTTAGCGTAAGACTTCAAATCCTAGGGTACCAGTACTCCTAAATCTTCTTCAACTTGGGGTCCTTTAAGAGGGAAGTCGCCTAAGTTGTCTT